TTCTTGGTGTCTTTCCAAGTGGTCAGCGATCGAGGCTCCAGTTGCTTCAGCCAATAAGCTGCAACTCCTCCAAGAGAGTATGGGAAAAGTTTGCAGAACAGGAAGTCATTGCTAACTCCATTAGCTTTGACACTTGAAGCCAAATCCTCAAACCTCTCAATATGATCCATAGGATGCTCATGAAGTAAGCCATGGAAAGGATGCTGTCCCATCAGCTGATAATAAGCAGGCTTGAGCTCAAAATCGTTCCTCTGAAAAGCAGGAGGGCGGATTGCAGCTATGTTGACATAAAACTGATCAGGTCTGTTGTAATCTCGTAGAGTCATTTGAACAAAATGCCCAGGAGCGTTTCCAGCAGCAGGAACTCCAGCATCATGCACCACACGTTGAACCACCTGTTCAACTATGACATTCCCATCCTGATCCAATCTCTACCCTTCTTCATTCCTCCTGTTTCCATCTCTGTCAACCAAGTGACCTTCTGCATCTTCAACCAAGATAATCGGATTGACCATTGTAAATTGCTTCTTAGACTTTCCTAATGGTCCTTTCCAACTTAGCTAGCTCGTCAATGCCTAAAGTCACAAGCTCCTTCTCTTTGTTGCATCTGGTACTGCGATTAGTCATACACCTGAAACCAGCACAAAGAAAAGTAGCAGAAAGTTAGTAAACAAATAAAAACTTAGACAAAGTCCTAATATTAAAAATCGATATGCAGCTATTACTCCCCGGCAACGACGCCAAAAACTTGATAGGGCTCAGGTTTTACCTAAATAAAACTACTGCAAGTGAACAACAATGCAGTTATAGTATAAGAAGTTATCGAATCCCAAGGGAGTATGTAAATTACACAAGCGATTATAGATTTGGATTAAGCTAAGCGATAATGAATGAATGTAATGCGAAATAGTTAAATAAATGCAAGAGGGCATTTTTATAATTGTTCTTAAAGTTCAGAAAGCTAAAGGCGCTAAGTCAGGACAATTCGCAGGTTGAATCTGAGAGTGTAGAATGCATGCAATCAGGAATGTAATAAAACCGTCTTGAACATGAATCGCAAAGATATAACTAATCAATTCTCATTGCAGAATTTATATATGTCTAGATCACAGAGTTTCAAATCTCTTTGCAAACTCTAACAACCTAAACATGCAGTAATGATCAGGTTCAATTGTTCACAAAATTCCTAAGCCAAATCTCTTTGCACTAAGGCGTTTTGCTCATCTAATGCTAGTTCAGGTGATTAATAATGTTCTCACATCTATCAAACAACCTAGGGTTTCGAAATCTGGATGATGTGTCTAAGAAATCGATATGAATGCAAGCACATATAAAAAACCAATAGATTTCCTATCAGTTTAGCAATTCTACAAACTCTTCATCAACCTTTGTAAAGCCCTAACAAACTACTCAGACATGGTGAATGAAACAAACATCATGAAAAGAAAAGATTGCATAAAAGAAATAAGAAATAAAGACAAAGGAGTTCGAAATCTGCTCTGAAGGAGTCTGATTTGTCTCTCCAAAAGCTCTGCTACAAATCTCTCTCTCCAGCTCTCTAGAAAATAAGATACAAGATATATGCCAAAAGAATGGCTGGAAAAACTAATATACAGGCTAAAATACAAGCTGGGATCTTCTTGTAAATAATGAATTTTCTGGGCAAAAACTGCAATTTCCTTTCCATCTTTTAAAAGAAGTCGTGATTTTCTCTTCATAGGTTGGTGACGAGCATCACCCATAAGTGGTGACGATCGTCACCCACTGCAAGACAACGGTTCTGACTTGCTTCCTTCGGGGTTGGTTCTTGCAATGATCCAAAAAGCTCCAAAACCTCCACTTATGCTCCAGTCATGCTATAACCTACAAAGACTCTACTAGGACTCTAAAAAGACCAAAAAGACTCAATAAAAAGGACTTATACAATGGTTAAAAACCATGATATATCACCTTCTTCCATACAGTTGGAGCATGTCATGATATGCTTCTCATGGCCTAACATGGTCTTCTTAGAGGAAGAGGAAGATTCATTAAGGCTTTTACGTCTAGCATAGTTACTTTGCCTATCAGGTTTACCTTATCTATTTGGTGGTGGCAAGACAGGTAATCTATTCATCCTCGGCCACGAGTTCATACCTTCCACATGCTTAATACTATGCTCATATGTTTTCCTTCACATTTTGAGTTGTGTAATATTCAGACACATAATCATTGACCTTTTCCTTCTTTGCTAGGATAACATACACAATATGGATACACAGAATACCATTGAACTGCCACATCCCACAGCCACACGTTTTGGGACCCATTTTGACACTATAAGCACAGCAGTGATAGTCTATTTCATGCTCATTATCAAAAGACATGTATTTGATGCAAATGTATTTGATGCAATCCCAAGACTTTTCTATAGCTGATTCAATTGCAGCATGTGCCCTCTTTGTGAATCTAGTCTTCAACCTATTTGCAATAATAAACCTTTTGCAGTATGCACCATACATTGTCTCCTTATATCCTCTACCAAGTTAAGTAATGGTTTTCTTCTAGCCTCACAGATGGTTCTATTGAAAGATTCATTCAGAAAATTCAAGTTATCATTGCAGCATGAACCAACCTTAAAGAAAGCCCGAGACCATGTAGGAGGATTGGTGAGTTGAAGAGAATCATCTGCACATCGATTGTAACGCTTCAATTGTTTCATACTTTCAATGTAATCTCCATTGGTGTAACTTTGGGCTATTCTCCAAAACAGCCGCTTTAGCTCTAGATCGTGGCTGTCTCTTTTCCAGTTTCCTAGAATGTGTCGAGCACACATTCGATTTTCAGCGTGTGGGAGATCATTGCAAACAGCTTTCACCAAACTTTTCAAAAACTAAACACTATAAAGAACTAGGAAGTTAGCAGAAACGAAATAGAGTGCTGGAAAATATCATAACCGAAACTCAACAAAATTTCCATAGTGATATTTAATAAATCCATTAACCAAAACAAATCAAGCTCAACATTGTACATAAACACACATAAAATTTATCTGTTTCTTATCTGATATGATGTTATGTTGCTTCCATCACCAAGTCCTAAATCCCGTTTCAGATGATTCACAAACTAATCCCAATTAACATTATTTTCTACTTTAATTACTCCCCATGCGATAGGAACAATCCTATTATCTCCATCTCTTCCTACTGCAGCTAACAACTGGCCTTTGACATTTTACTTAAGAAACGCACCATCTAGTCCAATGATAGGTCTACATGTAGACTTCTAAGCTACTCGTTGAGCATCAAAGCAAACATATAAACAATGAAACCTTTGCTTGCTTCCTGGTGTTGGTCATGAATTGTTTCAACCTCCATAATGGTGTCTTTATTAGTCAAAAGAATATCTGTTTTATAATCTCAAATCCGTGAAAATGTGCTTCGTGTGTAGTTCTTTTTTCCCTTGTAATTTTCGTCTTTGCTTTCCGACATTGCTCTTCAGTAACGTTCAAGTCGTATGTCCTCTTGATCTCATCAGTAATCTCTTTTGCAGTAAGCTTAGGATTCACTCTCAACCTTTCTGCAAACAACTGAGCAATTGATGAACTCTTTAACATTTTCGAGTAACTGGACTTGACACATGTGTTTATTCACAAAAACGTTTATCTGAAGCTTTCGTTTGCACCTCTCATGGGATAAATAAACTTTTCATTGGCAATCATACTCTATGTCAAAGCAAATATCAACAAGCTTTCTTTGTGTGGACATGTATAACTTAATGTCATATCTAGTTTTCAGAGAGTACCTAAGAAGAGCTTGCTTGAACACTGAAGCAGAACTAAACGTTTTACCTAATGCTAGAATGTCATCGGTGATGATTCATCCTCACAAGATTCCCTTCGCGCTTCTTCTTTCTCATCGTCGGATGACATGGGATCTGGTATATAATCTTCATTCCATAAATCGTCGTCTCCACTGTCATCACTCTCTACTCTATCAATCGCAATTTCTCCAAAGTGAGTTGTCAAAACTTGAGGCATAATTCTTGAACAACTACTTCGCAAACATCTTCTTCGACATCATTCCGCTCATTCCCATCTACTAAATCATCAGCAGGATCATCAACAATAGCCTCACAGTCATCATCAGGTATAAGCTCATGCTCCGAGATTATTTTGCTTCGACGAGGTGCAAGCTTTTTTCTTCTCGTCATATCGGGATTCTGGTGCCAATTTTGGATAACAGAAGAGATAAGAGAAGAAATCAAGACTGGAGCAAGGAAGGAGATGAGAGAAGAGATCAATGAGCAATTAGGATTTGAGATAAAATTTGGAGAAATTGAGTTTTTCCAATATGACATCGTTTTGTTCACCGTTAATAATAAACGGATCTTAAACGATAAATAATATTGATTTCAAATATATCTGAGAGGAAATGCTGCAAAATGACCCATATGAGAAAATAATGTGAAACGAGTACCACACTGAGGAAAAATTGTGGAAATGACCCATTTTTATGTTTTTTTTTAATATGAGTGCTACCCTTCTTCTTTTTATTTGTAGACTAATAGCAGACTAATGACATACTGAATGTAGATTTATAGTAGACTAATGACATATTAAATGTAGACTATTAGCGGACTGATTGGTTTTACAATTGCATATAAACTATTGGCAAACTAATGACAAACTAAATGCAAATTATTGACAAACTAACGACAGATTAAAAATATACTAATTAACTTTTTTATAAATTATTTTAAAAAGGAGAATATTTCATAATAAAATTGTTAAGTAGGTTATTTTGGCAAAATTGAGTAAATTCATTATTTAAATGTCCATTTTCTCAAAAATAAAGTCTCTTGGAAGATAATAAGAGAAAGATAATGTGAAATCATTATTAATCAACCGTACGTATATGATTGGAAGATTTGGATAACACAAAATCCAGAAGTGTATCCTTTGACAAAACCCTTACACACGCTCCATTTTTTTCACTCTCTCTCCCTCTCTCTCTCATAAGAACCCAGCAATGGGAGGAGTTTATTTCCTCTCCACTGTTCCTTCCTTCACCAACACAAACAATTTTCAACATCTCACACTCTCTTCTTCTCATCGCTCTGTGAGTTTCAAACCACTTCACATTCTTACATCGCCATTTTTTTCTAACCCATTTACACTCTTATACTAATATGATGATCATCAGGGCCTCATTCGATGTTGCAAGATCGATCCCCAAGTTCCCGGCGAAAGTATAGCTTTAAATCGGCGGGATATTCTCAAACTCGCCGGAACCGCCGTCGGAATGGTACCTTAACCATGGATTTTACAGATTTCTTGCTCTCAATCTTGATGCAATGATACATTTGAAATGAGAGATTAAAGTGAATATATATGCCTACATTTTTTATTAAAAATTACGTCTATGTATCACATTTTGTTAAAATGATAGTTGAATTGTGGATACAATGTGATTGATGAGTTCTTGAAAATGATGATCTCTCTTAAATTTGGATTATATACAATGATAGACTTCAAATTGACTCAAATGAGAGATTGAAATGAATATGTGTCTGCATTGTTATTCAAGATTACGTCTTTGTGTCACATTTTTGCTAAAAAAAATATAGTTGAATTGTTGTGGGTATAATGTGATTGATGATGAGTTCTTAGAAATGATGACCTCTCTAAAATTCATTCACCTCAAATTGACTCAAATGAGAGATTGCAATGTATATCCGTGCCTGCATTTTTTATTCAAGATTACGTCTTTGTGTCACATTTTTGCTAAAAAGATCAATGAATTGTGGGTATAATGTGATTGATGAGTTCTTGGCAGTGATGATCTCTCTTGTTAGGAACTAATAGGTAACGGCTTCATTAATCATGTGGTTGATGCAAAAGCTGCTGATTTGAATCAGCGTAGACAAAGATCCGAGTTCCTATGTGAGTTCTCTCAAACATACTCATATGAAAGTAACCAAGAAGAGGTTGTTTGTCACATAAAGGTTTCATATTTATTATTCCAGCAAAGATCAAGCTAATGCTTTCGACATCGGTTAAGGCTAAACCCGAGCTTGTACCTACCATACTTACTTTAGCACTCAATGATGCCATGACTTATGATAAGGTCAGCCTTCATAAATTTCTCTTTTCTATCATCTCTGGTGATTGTAAAACTCTTGACATATAGTATGAATTTGCGTTAGGCTTCGAAATCCGGTGGAGCCAATGGATCCATACGATTCAGGTACTTGATGATCTTGAAATGCTCTCTGCATTAGACTTGATGTCTTAAGGATCCAGAGCTTGATCATATCTCTCTATGTGTAGCTCTGAGATAAGCAGAGCAGAAAACGCAGGGCTTTCGGATGCGTTGGCTTTTGTAGAGGAAGCCAAGAAGGAGATTGACTCGTTCTCAAAGGGTGGACCTATTTCATATGCAGATCTTATTCAATTGGCAGGTGATGATGATGATGATGATATAGCATGTAACAAAGCTTGTTTCATGAACAGTATTGTTCATTGAAGTCTTTTTCCGGTTCGGTTTCGGTTCTGTAGGACAAGCAGCGGTTAAGTCTACCTTTTTAGCATCGGCGATCCGAAAATGCGGTGGAAATGAAGAAAAAGGGAACTTACTCTACACTGCATATGGTTCAAGTGGTCAGGTACACAATGCTATCTCACGTTTGAGCCGTGACACATTGTTCAAGTTAGGCCTGCGTATTCGGATTTTTCGGTTTGGTTATTCGGTTTTCGGTTTGTTCGGGTTGGAGAAAATCCTTCGAATTAAATTTCGGTTCGGTTTAGTTTAGTAATCGGGTTTCTCGGTTAAGTTTCAAGACAATTTAGTCGGTTCTTCGTTTGGTTTTTCAGCTAAAATCGGTAGTTAAAACGAATTTTGGTAGATTTAGTTAAACTTGGATATTCGGACGTTTGGTTCTTCGGTTTTTTGGGTTTTAAAAAAAAATATTTAGTGTTATTTTGGCTAAACAGGTTAAAAATGTTTTTCTTAAAAAAAAAATTGAAAAAAAACCATGGGCTCGGAGCTGACAAACCGAACCGATCCAGAAACCAAAGTAACAATAAAAAAACTGCCGATCGGTTTGGTGCTTAAAACCGAATGAAAACCAAAATCTGAAAAATGGTTCGGTTGGTTCGGTCGGTTCGGTTCTTACCTAATGCTCATCCCTAGTTCAGTGGAAACTGACTTCTGTGAATCTATTAGTGGGCTTTGTTTGATAGACAATTCGGACGAAGTGATGCAACAGAGCCAGATCCAGAAGGAAGGATCCCACTGTGGGGTAAAGCAACTGTGCAAGAGATGAAAGATAAGTTTATTGCCATCGGATTGGGTCCTCGTCAGGTACATTGATTTTCCGGTTTATATAAACAGTTTTTCAGATAAACCAAAGTTACTACTTAACCGGTATTCGACCCAACGTTCGGGGATTTATAGCTAGCTGTAATGTCTGCATTCTTGGGTCCTGATCAATCCGCAACGGAGCAGCTTTTAGCTACCGACCCACAAGTTGCTCCATGGGTTCAGAAGTACCAACGTAGCCGTGAAACCGTCTCTCAGACAGATTACGAGGTTTGTTTCTGCTGAATCTGGCTAAATATGTACATCTTATTTAAACTCAAGCTCATGTTTGGTTAATCTGAATATGTATTGCAGGTTGATCTGATAACTGCATTGACAAAGCTAAGTGGTTTTGGACAGCAAATCAACTATGAGGCATATACATATCCTATCGAGAGGATCAATCTAAGCAAACTCAAGCTATGAGAGAAATTGAGAATAAGCGTGATACAAGTTTAAGCCATGTACTCTATATATGTATAACTGAAGCAAACATGAACTCAATCTGCAATTGATTGCTAATGAGATAAATCAGAGATCTTTATAATCAAATGAGCAATTAGGTTAAGGCAAGCCATTGATAAGAAAGAAGTTGAATTCAATACAAACAGAGAAACCGAAAACGAAGTCAAATCACGAGAAAATAATAAGAATCCACGATTTAAGAAGACCAAACAAGGACAAGAATTATATTGGCCTCAGAAAGCTTCGGGATGGGAAAAGGAAAATCAGAAACCAACAACACAGAAAGAAACTTCTCCAAGGAAAAACATATTAATGGAGATAGCTTTAGATACTGGAGCAACAATGGAAGTCGCAAGAAGACTTAGGATTGTTGCTGTTCTTCAGCAGGCTTTGGCGCTGCTGGTGCTGCTTCTTTGATGATATCATCATCCTCCTGATTCAACATTCGACAATCAGAAAAAGAAGAAATGAAGAAAAGAGGAATGCATCCAAATATTAATAAAACAACCATCTGATTCCCAAATATAGTCTTTCTGAATAGCTTAACTAGGCTCATGATTTCAGAATCAAGCAGTAAAAAAGGATTCACGAATCTAAACAATTCGAAAGAAAGGAAAATGAAACGACTCAGAGTGTAAGCTAAACCATTTGATTCTAAAATATAGACTTTAATAATGGCGTAATTAGTCTCAAGGTTTCAGAAATCAAGCAACAAAATACGAGTCACTAGTTTGGATTCAGAAATCTAAACCATTTGAATGGAAGGTATCAAGAATGTAAACTGAACCATTTCATTTCCAAATCTAGTCTTATATATCTTAATTAGGCTCATGGTTTTAGAAATCAAGCAACAAAAACAAAGAGGGTCGAAGTATTATCATACCTGCATATCAGAAGTCCAGAGAGTGAGGTTATCGCGAAGAAGCTGCATGATCAAAGTACTGTCCTTGTATGACTCTTCACCAAGAGTATCCAATTCAGCAATTGCTTCATCAAACGCCTAGTGAATCCATGGATGAAACTCGTCAACACACACACAAACAATCACCAGTATTATCAATAGAAAGACGCTCATAGTGAAGCAGACCTGCTTAGCGAGATTGCAAGCACGGTCTGGAGAATTGAGAATCTCGTAGTAAAACACAGAGAAATTCAACGCAAGACCAAGACGAATCGGGTGTGTTGGAGCCAATTCAGAGTTAGCAATATCCTACGAAAAACCCAAAATTCTCAGAAAACCTAGATCCATAAATCGTACAGAGTCAAGTCAAAATCAACCAGATCGGAGAAATCAAACCTGAGCAGCTTTGTAAGCAGTGAGGGTATGTTCTGCAGCGTCTTTCCTCTCTTGGCTAGTTTTAAACTCAGCCAAGTATCTATGATAATCTCCCTTCATCTTCAGGTAGAAAACCTTGGAATCTCCAGAGGCAGCAGCGGGGATAAGCATGGTATCGAGCAATTTGAGGATACCGTCGCAGATTTTGCAGAGTTCGGTTTCGATTTTGCTTCTGTAGTCACGGATCAGGGAGACGTGGTCGTCGTTGCCGCGGCTCTCTTCCTTTTGTTCGATCGAGGAGATGATTCTCCACGAGGCACGGCGAGCTCCGATCACATTTTTGTAAGCGACGGAGAGGAGATTACGCTCTTCGACGGTGAGCTCCTCTTTGTCGACGGCTGTTGCGACTTTCTCCATGAATTCGACCATTTCTTCGTAACGCTCGGCTTGCTCCGCGAGTTTCGCCATGTAAACGAATTCTTCCCTGGCTGAGGAACCTGCTGGTGGTGGTGTCGCCATTGATGTTGGATCGGGAATGAAGAAATATGATTTAGATCTGCGAGAGAACGAAGAAGAGAGAAAGAGAGACTTTTTGTGTTCTTTTTCTCGGCTCTGAGAATTTTTTTTCTTCTTCTTATTTCGGAATTTGTTTTTAAGAGGATTATTGTTTTTTTTATGGGGAATAATAATAAATGAGTGGGGAGCGACGATTACGTTGTGGGATGAAAGGAGAGCCGTTGGATTAATCTGAAGGGGAAAAGGGTAAAGCTGGCGAAACACGGATTGGCGGATTCACCCAAAAAAAAAATGGCGTTGGCTTTTCAGATACTTTTTAGGTCAGTTTGAATTTTCAAAAGACTTTACGGGGTACTTTCGGAATTCCATCTTTAAATGAACTCAGAGCCATGATTACGTTTTAAATCGGGTATACTGTTGTATTGATAATTGATTTATTGAATTATCTATTGTTCGGGCTTAACGTGAGCGTCAGGATTGTGTGCTAAGCGTGAGCGTGAGTGGGACGGTGATGGATTTGGACTTAATTTTTTTTTTATATAAGAATTAAATGTTATAAGAAAAAGTATAATTTATTATATAAATATATATATATAAAGATGAAAATTTTATACCTATAAAAAAAGAGATATTGATAAAGAAATGAGGTAGAGAAAAAAAAAATTTATACTATTTTTTATATTGAAAATAAGTTATTGTATACCAATGATCGAAACGATCGTTCTTATAAAAGATAAATTTACTGTATATGCATATAATGTTGGTCTGACGATTTTTAATACCTTATACAAAATTTAAAAATATGCATTTTTCTATATTGTATTTAACATAAAAAAAATTATAGTTAAAATCTTATGAAAAATCCAATTTCAAACAAGCAATTAAAATTTATAAATAGTTTATAAAAATGAAAAAAAATAAAAAAAATTATCATTAAAAATTATCTTCTTTACATTTTGTTTGTAAAATCATTCATTTAATTCATATAATAGAGTTTTTCAATCATAACTTTATATATAAATATTAATAAATATTTTTAATAAAAAAAAAAATTAAAAAGATGCCCCTAAAAATTTTGCTGCTCTAATCATTGGCTTCTCCTGCTTATCTCATGGGCTGGCCTTGTATTCATAGTGACGATGAACTTCACAATTTTTCTATCATGTTTCTTTTGATGGTTTTAAAAGCTTTATATTGTTGACCTTTTATAACTTTCTCCATTGGAGACCAGTGTCATTGTTGTTTACTGCTTTACGTCTTTGTTGCCTCATTAAAAATCTTTTTAGAAAAAAAATCAGTGGGAAAAATCATAGTAAGGTAAAAAGAGCACAACCACGCAAGCTTTTCTTCAAATGAGTAGGGTGTCATCTTTTAGGTCTTGTTGCTGACGCATTCGAATGTTATGGATATGTTTTCTGAACATAGTGGTGGGTAATGATTTTGTGAAGAGATCGGTTGCATTGTCACATGATCGGACATATCTTATTTCAATTTCCCTATTCTTCTCAAACTCTTAAGTGCATGAAAAGAATTATAGATGGATATGCTTCCATCTGTCACTTTTGATGTACCTTTCCTTCGTTTGAGCAGCACATGCATCATTGTGTTCATATCTTTTTGAATTCGTTCAAGGAACTTTTGTGACTCTTTATCGATTTTGGTTGGCGGTGGCCTTATGATCAATTTTCCAAGAGAACATGCAGCACATGTCTTTTTATTTCCCTAATATATCTTCTGGATTTTCAGTGAATGACCATGTGAGCTCTCTATTATTTTATGCATCATTGAGGTGCCTGGGTGATTGAGGCGATCATGCCATTGTGTGAAATCATCTGGATTTCTTTTGATCATGAGATGAGATTTTACTGTATCTATATTAAGTATGATGTAAACCAGAAAGAAGTTCGGAGAATTTTTTTCAATATAAGTCTTTTGCCTGACTTATTATAAGTTATGTGCAGACTGAGTGTCATATCTTTGAAGGTATGTGTCTTTAAAACTCAACAAATTCCTTTTAGAATTCAGAGAATATAAAGCATTATTTATAGAAAACTTCGTCCCACTAGGCAACCCAAAGTTGGCTTTACCAGTTCCTTCAATCAAGTCTGCATGACCTAAAATTGTATTGACAGTGATATTTATCGGTTTCAAACTAGAGAAAAATATTATTTTGTCTCAGAATAGTGTGTGTCGTTCCACTCTCTTGTTTATAAGTTTCTCAAATCCTTTTCTTGGATATTGTTCCATTCGTATTGCGATCCATTTTTGTAATTAACATAAACATTAATAAATCTGAACCAAATTTCATTAATAGAAAATGAACATACAATAATAATACATTATATTGTTGTCAGAAACAATATTATTCCTTTTAAAACTGAAATTGTAATAAGTATACTTGGGCATTACTGGAGACTATTCAGTGGTCTCTCTACAAGCATTTCAGTTATTCCCGATATTGGCCTCATTGAAATCATTCGCAAAGTTGAGGGAGTCGAGGTACAATGTACCCTCGAAGTGTTCAGTGAGGTTCACTTCTTTCCATTTGCCTTTTGTGGCCTCTTAGTGCAACTTACAAAGATGTGGAGTGGTTCCACATGTGCGGGACCAATGTCTTTTGCACCCACATATGTAACATACATTATCACGCTTCTAGGTGGGGGCTACTTGGGTTTCCTTCCCTTTGGAATGTATTTTGGATCTAACCCATATTTTTTTATCTTCTCCCTCTTGAGTTGTAACCTCTTCCACGTCTGCGATTAAATTGACGGCCACGACCCCGATAGGTTTGACTATTCTTTGGATTGTCCACATTCGGTGCTTTCACTTCTGAAAATGTGGTTTTTGATGAGGAGCTGATTATTCCTCTCAGCCAACATGAGTGTCAAAATTAATTCAGAGAACCTTGTGTATCCACATTTTCTATATATTTGTTGCAGGGCAAGATGCTTGTTGTGGAAAGTGACTTAAGTCTTCTCGAGCATTTCAGCTTCTGTGACAGGCTTTCCACAATACTTCAATTGTGAGACTATCCTCAACATAGTTGTTAGAGATGAAATTCGTACCATCTCTACAAGCCCAACATGAACTCTGATCGGCCCATATTGGAAACCCAAAGAATATTCAGGTCGGCCAAATAAATAGAAATCTTCCATTTATCGGACTAAATTCGGAAAAGACGGAAGATTGGCCTTATCAGCAAGGAAGTTTTCCTATTTCAGATATACGTAGTTATCTCTAGAAGACCGACCTGATCGGGTATAAATATAAGAAGCTATCAGCTTCTCAAATCATCCAAAAATACTCTCGAGAGAGATAGGACAAACTAGCAATCTGTTGTTCTTAGTTCTCGAGCTTTCTTTCATTCATATTTTAGGTCGGCATTCTTATTCCGATGACCTAAACGACCGTATATCTCTCGAGCTCCGGCTTAAACTTAATAAAGATCTCTCTTTAAACCCACAAACTCTTGTTAGGTCTTTAGATCAGTTTTGAGTTATCACAGTTGGCGCCGTCTGAGGGGTATAAGAGACAAAGTCTTTAAAAGAACGCAGAGCTCGAAGATGGTTGAAACACTCACCGATCCTAACACCACCACTCTCGCCGACAGAGCCGCTGATCTCACCGGGGACAACAGACAAGGCCCGATCATCGATCCAATCCCCCGTGGTCAATCAGACCAACCTACAGACAGACGATGCGGCTGCTGCGCAGAATACCCCTGAGGCGGAACAGGTCGGCCAAACTGGTGGAATGAACCAGACCGACCTGCCACAGCCACCTCCCATCGTTATGGCTGGCCTCATCAGGTCGGTCACGACTCAGCTACAATATGACATGGATGCTCGGTTTGAGTCTCTCCGCGCCGAACAGATCACTTACCGAGAAGACCTAGATCGGCTTCTCAACGCCAGGGTTCATACCTAAGAACATGTCGACCTAACCACGCCTCGACACCAGCCGATCCGCAACCAGAGAAACCCAGAAACGACGAAGCTGGTGAATAACCTGTTCGTCTTGAAACACCACACCAACAGATTTACGGAGGGCACAAGTGGAAGGCTCCAACACCCGTTCGTCTTGAAACACCACATGTGCCAATCCGACGATAGCCTCCGAGCTCGATCTTCTCAATCAACGCCTTGAAGACATAAATACCAAGGTGCACAAGGCGACGACCTCGGCCCCGGAGTTAGACAAAATACTCTAACAAACGCAGCAGACACCGTTCACGCCGGCCATCACCAAAGCCCCACTCAAGGACATAGGACGGATGAAGCTGCCTCCCAATTATACTGGCACGACCGACCCAAAGCGACATCTGACCGCGTTTAACGCAATCATGGGATGAGCTCACTTTACGGATGAAGAGCGAGATGCATGCCTCTGTCAGTACTTCATGGAGTCGCTCTGGAAGCGCCCTTACCTAGTTTTCATAACTCCCTCCGAATTCTATCGACAGTTACAAGGAACTCACGAGCCATTTTCTTAAGCACTATTCGATCTACATCGACGGGAAATCTACAGCACTCGATTTATGGGCATACGTCCAAGGCGATACAGAGCCGTTGCGCGACTACATCAATCGATTCCGGTCCATAGTTTTCCGATGCAGCTTGTCGGACGAACTCTCTCTCAACATCCTGATCAGGAATTTGAGAGACGACCAGTCATACTGCGAGAGGTTGAAGACTGGCAAAACCAAAATCCTAGAAGATGCCTTGCACAAAGCAAACAGCTACATCTGGCTCGAGGAAGACAAGGCGGCCAAAGCAAAGTTGGCCGATGAAAAAATCACACGTGACAAGAAAACCCGGTCGTCAAATCGGGACGGTCATCAGAAGCCTCGGCAGCACTACGATAGGGATGACATAAGTCGCAAGAACATCAACGCCGTCGCTCGTCAATCAAACTGGAACCTTGGGATTGCCAGAGTGCCAAAGATCCCGACAGTAAGAAGCCGTACACTGTACTTACCACAAAACACATGGCCATCATACAGA